CTAAAAACAATTGAATTTTACAATTTAAATAGGTGAATTATATGATACGTGAATTATACCTCAATAAAACTGTTAGAAAAAAAACCAACCTATCACTGTTCAGGCTTCCAGACATTTTAAAACATTGGTCTGCAGTGGGACTGAACTGTAAGCATTATATCTCTTGCCTTGTCCCAGAAACGTTTGAGAATCCTAGCTCCTCTGGATCACTATGCCCTGAAGCAGTTAGCTCAGCCTACTGTTAGTAATTAAGAACACTGACCTTGTTACTAGACAGAGCTGAGTTTGAATCCTGATTCTGCTACTTGGTAGAGGAGTGGCTTTGGGCAAATCATATTTTCTAGTCTCAGATTTCTCATTTGTAAAGTGAGGACAATAAAGCCTACCTGCAAGAACTGCTACAGGGATTAAATTACAACAGCAGATGTAAAGTGCTTGGCTCAAAGTGAGTATAACATAAATTGCTAGTGATTATTTCTTCCCAGTGATTATTTCTACAACTGACAGATCTAGCCCCTCCCTCAAGATTTCCCTGCTAGTATATGGGATATCGCCTCCATCAATTATGTTCAAGGTATCTTGTCCCATGAACACGTAGGTCTCTAATACCAAATTCCTGTCCTCACTCTCCAAACCAACAGTCCTCTAAGGGGAAGGCAGAAGAAATGATCCCTTCTCTCAGGGTCCCTCATCAGCTCCAATTACTGGTCTTAGGGTACACTTGTGAATGTCCTCAGAGAGTTTCTTCAGGTGCACGCTTACCACCCGCACCCTCTTGGTCCTTCCTTCCTGAGCTGAGAGCCACTCCTGGGAGCAGGACCACCTTGAGTCTTCACAGAACCCCTGAGCTAAAATGCCTGAATTTCACCACATGTTGTCTTGCCATTAAAATCCAGGAGTGTCTGTCTCAGAACTGACCACTTTTTTCCCAAAAAATATTTACAGGAAACTTATAATTCACAATCACTTGGAATAGAATTCATTGCTCAGCATACCACCTGTATCTGGCAAGAAGCTTGGTGATAAATCATTAAATAATGGTTAAAGCTCCGCCTATTAAAATCCTTTGGCCCAGTTTAACCACAGCTCTTTCAAGTTGTCATGTCAGTCAGAAATGGTTTCCTCTCCCTTTCCCCTGCATTCCTATCATAGCTCTCTTTATTGAACACTTATTAATTGTTCCCAAATCATACAGTCAATAATTGGCAAATCTAGAATCCAACTGTACTGAGTTGAAAAGTGTCTTCCCAAAATTCATGTCCACTGGCACCTCAGAATGTGACCTTATTTGAAAATAGTATCTTTACAGATGTAATCAAGTTAAGATAAGTTCATACTGGATTAGAGTGTGTCCTAAATCCAATGATTAGTGTCCCTATGAGAAGAAGAAACCTTGGAGGCAGGGGCATAGGAGGAAAACAGAAAAGATGGCCGTGTAAAGATGGAGGCAGAGATTTGAGTTATGCTGCCAAAGACGAAGAATGCCAAGGATTGCCGGCAACCACCAGAAGCTAGAAGAGGCAAGGAAAGATTCTTCCCTAGAGCCTTTGGAGGGAGCATACCCCTGCCAATGTTGGCATTCCAGCCCCCAGAACTGTGAGAAAATAAATATTTATTGTTTTAAGCCACCCAGTTTGTGGTAATTTGTTACAGCAGCCCTAGGAAACTATTATACCAGCCTAGGTCAGAAGCCAAACATCTTCATTCTGAACAACTATGATGTGCTACCGTATGTTTGCAGCACCGAAACTGTATTCTTCACAGTATATTTATCAGATGCCTCGTATTTCACAGTAGGAGGCAGATGGTGATCCTAGAAGTTGAGGAAAGGATGGAGGCGATAAGGAGGAAGTAGGATTATTGCAAGGTAAAGAATGGGCAGGACTATTTTCTTGAAAACATGCCCAACCTTCGCTACAGTCTGACCCTGTTGATTTAGCAGAGAAGGGGAAGTGAGTTTGTTTATGAAGGAAGTGTGATACACTAAAAAGAAGGCAGGAACTACAACACCTGCCATGAACTAGCTCTGAGATAGGCATATGACATTCATATATGGCTGCTTTGACACAGACAATTTGACTTGAGAACATTGAGACATGCCTTCAGAAACAAAATATTAAACTTTTAGCTGTTAAAAATCTCTAAGCTTCCTGCTCAGTTCCACTCAACCCCTGATTCTCATTCCATAGCTCCCACTTCTGACACATAGCAGACACAACTTTTTAGTTAAATAAATGAATAAGGGAATGAATATCGAGGATGGAAGAAGGTTGGAGGTGTCAGAAATGAAGTGGTGGTTAATGACAAGGAAAGAAAGAGTCAGATGCATAGTAACATCATGAAAAAAGGCTCAAGAATCAGATGTCTGACACTAACATTGGGTAATCAAAAGCCATAACAAAAGCAAATGTGGCAAAATATCATTTGTTAAATCTTGGTAATGAATGTATGGTGTTGGTAATATTCTTTATAGTTTGGTGTGTTTGAAATGTTTCACTTAAAAGAGAACAAAAATAGAACAACAGCTGCATCATAATGTCTAGATCAAAATGGGTGTGTCAAATTGGCATCGTTTAAATCACTTTGCTTTGGTGGGTTCTGAATCCCCTCCTTCATCAGCAGAGCTGGTGTGGTTGTGGCAAAACCCAGTTCATTCCCACACATGGATGAACCAATACTTTGGAGAGAACCTATAAAAATATATATGAAAAAACAGAAAATAATCATTTCCTTGGGCTCTGTGCTCCTGCTCCTGGGAATTTATGCAAAGGAAATGATATGTCAAAAGAAAAAAAAGATGGGGAACCTATAGATGAAAACTTTGGGGACAAATATTATAACAATGAAAATTTTGTAATAACTTAAGGTAACCATGGAGGAGAGTACTCACCACTGCTCCCACCCTGGTCATAACACCCTCCATCTTTGCCTGCATGGCTGTGGTAGCCTCCAGCTTGTCTGTTTCCGCCCTTACACCTACAGTCTACTCTTTACTCAGCAGCCAGGGTGATTCTTTTAAAAGGAAATGAAATCACTTCCCCACTTCTCAAAATGTTCTCACCACCTTCACAGCTACCAACTGTGGTCTGAGCCACCGAGTCCTGGGGCCTGGATTATGTATGACAATAGCTCCTAACTAGTCTCCCCTCTTCCAATTTCCTTACCTCAAGGAGACAGTGAAAGTGCTCTCTTTCAAATCATAAATCGGATCAAGTCACTCCTCTGTTCAGAACTCTCCAGTGGCTTCCCGTCTGACTCAGAGCAAGCAAGCCCAAATGACTCAGAGCAAAGTCGAGTAAACTTTTACACTGGCACACAAGGATCTCATTTCCTTCCCAGTCACACTTTTTGTTGGGTGTTCTCTCTACTCTTAGGTTCTTTCTCCATATGTCCACATGGCTCATTCCCACCCTTGCTTCAAGTGGTAACTCAAATCTCCCTTTTTCAGAGAGGTCTTTATTAACTACCCTATTTTAAATTTTACCACTCTGAAAGCCTCATCCTATAATGCTTCCCTGTTTTATATTTTCTCTCAGTTTTTATCATCTTCTGATTATCATTTACACATTTCTCAAATATCTATCTGCCCTGCCTCAAACACACATACGCTAGAATTTAAACTACAGGAGGAAAGGGAAATATATCTGCATTGCTCACAGCTGTTTCCTCATTACCTAGAATAGGCTGGCACTTAGTTGACATTCAATAAATACGAAAAGAACAAATGGTTAAGTAATAAATTGGGCAAAACCACGATGATGGAATATTAAGCAATCAGAAAAAAATATTGTGTATCAATGTGGAAAAAGACACATGACACAATGGTAACGCTAAAAGCAGAATCCGTGTGTTGTGATCAAAACTACATTGGTGTGGCTTTGGCAACATCTTTTTTCCAGTTCTTTCCCTTTCTATTCCCTTAAATGTTCAGGTTCCCCGGTTTGTCTTTGGCTCTCTTGTTATGTTTATCTACCCTTACTAGCTTCAAACACCATCTAGTTTATTTAGCATATTGTCCAAACTAAAGTTGGGCCCAGGGTTCTGTTTTATGCCTCTCACCCACTTGCTCATGTTGCTTTGTATACACCTCTATTAGAATACCATTCTGGGAATGGCTGTCTGTTCATCAGTCTCCCCAATAAAATGGGAGAGCTCTTACAGGATAAGATGCCTAGAACATATTAGTAAGGACTCAATAAATGTTTGAGTAATACAAGATAATAAATAATAAATTGAGTGCATACTGTGTGCCAGGTACCTCTAAGAACTTTACATTTATCATATTTAATTCTCACAGCAGCCTTATTGAAGTAGATCTAGCTTCATTCCACATAAGAATAAATCAGGAAATATGTCTATAATAAACAGTGACCAAAAAGTATGCCTACAATAAATTACGTGTTAAAGTGGTGGGATTGTAGGTGGTTTTGCTCTTTCAGAAATGTCTTTAGTATTGTAGTTAGGTTGTGTGTGTGCGCGCGCGAGCCTGCGTGCGATCAAATAATTTAAAAACTTCAGTGGCCAAACCCAGCAACAGAAAATTGTAGAGCAGGGTCTGGGAAAAGGGGACGGACCCAAAGGCACAGATCAGCCGAGATCAGGCTCCACCAGTGAGCAGTCTGCAAAGGCGGGGAGGGTCCGCCCGCATAGCTGCGACCGGTTCCACCCACGGAAACGTTGCCTTTCCGGGAGGCCAACCCGCGGCCACACGCCAAGAACCTGGAGGCTGTGGGCGAAGGCACTCCTAAAAGACTCGGGCCGGGGGGGCGGGGACAGGTTGGCCCTCAGGCTGGCACCGATTGGCTGCCGCTGAGACGGGGGTGGGCGCTACCGAGGGCCCTGCCGCACCTGCGCTGGAGCCTCAAGGAGAGGGAAGGAGCGGGGTGTGGAGGTCTGCGGCGGTGGCGGCTCTAGAGGAAGAGCCGGAAGCGCTTCAGTGCGACTCCCGAGACCCTCTGTGTTCGAAGGGACAGCCCTCTTCCTCCTGAACCGCTCCACCTCCGTTTCTTGCCCCTCATCCGGAGGCCGAAGCCTCCGGTTTAGGCGGGGCGGCGCAACCCGAGCTCCCGGACCCGGAAGAAGCGCCATCTCGCGCCTCCGCCATGGAGCCCACCGCGCTGTCCCTCACCGAAGAGGACCTGACTGAAGTGAAGAAGGACGTGAGTAGCACCACCTTGCCCAGGCGCCCCGCGGGCTAGGGGCAGGTCGGGGCGGGCTGCAGCCCCGCGGGCGAGGAAAGCGGAAACCCGGAGTCGGAGGAGGAGCCTGTGGGGCGGCGGAGCGGACAGGACCGCCGCGAACCCTGCAGCCGAGGGTCCTTGGTGGAAGGGATCCCCCAGCGACGTGTCAGTCCAGGTTTTAAGTCGCTAGAAGCAGGGCTTGGGTTTCCGAAGCCGCCTTCAGTGGAGTGTTACTTCACTGTCTGCTTCTTGCCCACTCGTCGCCTGTCCCCTGGTGATTTTACCCCCGTGCGCTTTGGTGCCGCGTTGTTAGACGTCAGACGGCCCAGGTTCATCTTTGAGTCAGACTCTCCAGGCTGCGGGCCCAACCTGGAGGCTGGACCAGGTAAAGGATCCCAAGCAGTGGAGCAAATATGTGAAACCCTTGTGCAAAGTGGTTAGGGAAGCTCAACAGCTGAACAGCACAACCTGGAATTCCCCTAGTCAGCAGACGCCCACATATTTAAATTGAGGGGAGGGGGATGAAATTTAAATTGAGGGGAGGGGGATGAATACTTGCAGCCGAGAATTAATTCACAGGAAAACCAGGCAATAGCTAAATTTTGCTCTTCTGCTTGGATGCTGCAGAAAATCTTAATATATATTCTTAATGACTTTGTTGAGGTATGACTTGTTTCTCTTTTGCCTTTGCTCTCAGTTGTTTTGCAGTATGAGACCTATATGAATGCCTCTAAAATACTTTATATTAATTGAGATTAAAAGCAAACAACCTGAAGTGTAGAAAACTCACAAAATCATCTTTGTGAACTGGACAGGACAACAAATTTTTAAATGTTCACCTGCTTCCAATCTCTTCCTTTTCTCTCCCCTGTAAGGTTTATTACACTGTACTCATAATTACAGTTGGTATCACGCATTAGCAGAAGGAAACTGGAAATGACAGGGACTTATGCCTTAGTTTCCTCAGTCAGCAGATATTTATGGAACACTTACTATATGGGAAGTACTGGTATTGGACCTGGAAAGATACAAAAAATGAGGATCAGGCGTGTGCTTTACATTGTAGTTGAGATAAGACTGGGACATTGATAACTAGTATAGAATAAATGAGTGTTGTCCTACTCGAGATTTGTGCCAGTAAAACCATGAACTTCAAGAGCTTGGCTTGCTATGTGCCAAATGCTGTGTCAACTATTTACAGTGCTCCCATTTAATCTTTACAGCAACCTCTAGGGGAGATCATTGTCATCCCCATTTTACAGCAGATAAAACAGGCAGTGAGAGGTTACAAGCGGGAGGATGTAAAACTTGTACGCCAACACAGATGTGAAGAGTGGCTTCCAGGTCTTTATTTTTTTTCTATCAGTTCGTTGATATTATTCATCTCCACGATTTCATTTTACAGCCATATCAGAAATTCATAACCTTGGGAAGTCATGGATGGGTTTCAGGAGGTCTATGAAAAAAAGTATGTGCACATATTTTTCTTAGAAATTTTTTTCATGATATTTTCAAAATGGTTCATGACCGTAGACAGTTTTTAAACTATCATCCACATATTTGAACTTCCTTCTGTCTCAACTGTAGGCATTTATTTCCAAATATCTACTGGAAATCCACTTTTGTGTCCTGCAGATTCCTCATCTTGTCTAAAATTGAACTTTTTATCATCTGTTCCCCAAAGCTGCTTGCTGTTCCTGCTGTAGTCTCTGTCTTGATGAATAATAGTACACCACCACCCATCCTTCTGGAAACTCCCACTTCTTCACTATACTCCTTCTCCCACTCTGCCCCATCTAGTTGTCTATCTCCTCTTTTTCTTGAATATAGTTCAGTTTAATTAAGTATGGATTACATGCTGTTCTGAGGCTGATACTGTAGTTGAATCTAACAGTTTAAAAATTTAAAACTGAGACACAATCCTAGTTTGAAAAGAGCTTGATTTCTTGGGAGGAGAGAGAGAGAGACATAAAATGATAATTACAAATTACAAAATAAGTGGAATGAATTTTACATTCACCCAAAACACTGTCTATTTAGCATTCTGCTAAGTGCAGGATATACAGAGCAGAACAAAACATACCTGGTTTTTTTCCTGCTTCAAACATGTAGATCATTAGGGTTGAAAGAAATAAATGTGTAATTACAAATGATGGTAAGTACTATGAAAGAGACAAACAGATGTTAAGACAATAACAGGGACACCTACTTGAGATAGTATGGTCAGGGAAGGTTACTTTTAATCTGGTTCCTGAGAGGACAGAACTCCAGGAAGAGTATTCCAGGCAGAATAGAATTTGCGAAGGACCTAAAACAGGCAAGACCTTGGTGACGGGGAAATTGGAAGAAGGCAGAGGGTTCACTGAGGTGAAGTTAGGAAGGTGGTCTAAAGCCAGATCATGAAGGGTCTTATAGATGGTAGTAAAGTGTTTCGATTTTTTTTCCCCCAAGCGTAATAGGGACCTACTGAAGAACCATGTGTGTGTGTGTGCGTGTGTGTGTGTGTGTGTGTGTGTGTGTGTATACATACATATCTATCTATCTATCTATCTATATATATATATATATAGAGAGAGAGAGATGTATGTTTTTTTGGTTTTTTTTAAGATTTTATTGGGGAATTGGGGGAGGGTAACAGGGTTGGGGAATTGGGGAAGGGGAACAGCCAAATTGTTATCCTTCAGTCTTAGTTGTGGAGGGCGCAGCTAGCTCAGCTCCAAGTCCAGTCTCCATCTGCCCACCCGTCGGCAGCTCATGGCTACTCAGCTCAAGGTACCATGTTCAATCTTAGTTGTGGGTGGGTTAGTTGCGGGTGGGTGGAGCCCACCATCCCATGCAGGAGTTGAACTGGAAACCTTGTTGCTAAGAATGCATGCTGTAACCACGGAGCCATCTGGCCATCTGTCAGCAGCTCAGGGCAGCTCAGCTCAAGGTGTCGTGTTCAATCTTAGTTGTGGAAAGGTGTAGCCCACTATCCCATGAGGGAGTTCAATCGGCAATCTTGTTAGGAGCACGTGCTCTCACCAGCTGAGCCATCCTGCTATCTGTTGGCAGCTCAACGGCAGCTCAGCTCTGGCACAGCTCACTGGCCCATGTGGGAATTGAACCGGCGACCGTGTTGCTCAGAGCTCGCGTTCTTAACCAACTGAGCCAGTCAGCCGGCCCCCATATGAAGAATTATATTTTTAAAAGATCCCTCTGCCTATTGTATGGACTGAGGAGAGCAAAAGTGAAAAGAGGGAAGGAGACTCTTAAAATGTATACAGTTGAGAGATGGCGGTGATTTGGGTCAGGTTGAAGGCAGTGGAAATGGATGCAACCAGATAATTCCAGATGCATTTTTGAAATAGAAATTATAGGCCTTGGCGATGGATTGTATGTAGGAGCTGAGGAAGAGAATGGAATCAGATTAGTAAGTGGAAATGTCACATCAGCAACTAGACCCCCAAGTCTGAAGATCAGAAGAGAGATCTGAGCTGGAAATATAAATGTGGGATTGAATGAGTTCACTTAGGGAGTTGAGAGTTAGACTGGAAAAGAGAGATCATAGAAGAGTTCAAATGAGAAGTTATAGCCACAGAGATGGAAAGAAAGCCCAGAGAGTGTGTGGTAAGACAAAAGTATTTCAAGGAAGGAGTGGTCAGCTGTGTCCATGCTGCTGAAAAGGAAGGTGAAGACTGAAAATTACCAGATCTGGCATTAAGGAGGTCATTGGTGACTTTGAGAAGAGTAGTGAGACAGAATGGAAATGTCTGGGAATGAATTGGGAGCTGAAAAGTGGGTCCTGCTTTATGGAAAAGTGAAATGTATGCATAGGGTACTGCAAAAACAGAGGAGAGGGGTGCCTAACTTATCCTGGGAAACTTAGGGAAAGCTTCCTGAAGGAGATGACTACTGTCCTGAATCTTAAAGAATGAACAGCGACTTGGGGTATGAGAAGAGAAAACAAGACAAAGATAACATTGTAAAGAAATATAGTGACAAAAGCAGCTTCAGGTATAACATAAACTACCAGAACAGATAGAGGTGGCAATAAATTAAGCTGGAAATGTAGGTGGTAGGATCCATATGATGACGTACCCTGTCTGCCATTATATTAGCTATTATTGAGTGCGTACTGTATATCAGAGACTGTCAAGTCTTCATGTGTACTGTCCCATTTAGTCCTAGAGGTCCTCCAAAGTAAGTATTATTATTTTATCAATAAGGACCCAGAAGCTTAGAGAGATAAGTTACTTGCGCCAGCTCTCACAGAAGTATATGGCAGATTCAGGATTTGAAATGAGGTTGATCTGAGTCTAGAGCCATGCTCTTAACTTTTCTATTCTGCCATTGTTGAGGAAATTGATCCTTTTAAGTCAGGGGTGGAACACACACAGTGTTTTAAATTTTAAAAAATTAACTGACAATGTTTCAATAGTAGAGTTCATATAATGCTGATTTTCTCCTGAAAATTTGGAAAATCTGATAGATGTGTGAAGGGTAAATTTGAAGGGAAGGAGAGAAGTAGGAAGTATAGCTAGGTGTCTGTTGTTATTATAATAGTCCATGCAACATATGCTAAGGACCTGAACTGTGGTCATGCTAACAATAGAGATGAACTGAATGGGGTAAATTAGATAAATACCAAGGGGTAGAGTGTCAGGGCTTGGTGGATGGGTAATTAGATGTGGCAAGTGAGTGAAAGAGGGGAAGCCAAGGATCATGGTAGGTTTATAGCATGATTGGATGGGTGGTGATACTCTCAAATGAGTTGAGACTATCAGAGCAAAAGACTAGGGGAAGATAAATTTGCTTTTGGACGTGTTGAATTTGAAGTACCTTTGGGATGTCTAAGTGGAGAAAGCCTTGATCACATACCCAAATCTGGGAATCATCAGAATGTAGGTGATAGAAATGACAACAGATGAGGTTTTTCAAGGAGTTCATCTTTTAAATCTAGTATTCTCTCTCTCCATCCCCACAGCTTAAATTTATGCACTCAGCATATCTTATATAAGATATGACGGCAGTCTTCTAATTGATCTCCTTTGACCTCAGTTTTTGTGTCCATCCCCCCCCCACCCCCCCCACCCCGGTCCTCTGCAAAAGTTTTCTTATTTATAAACCTTGGATGACTCTTGTCTACAGGGAAATGTGTGTTCTCAGCATGTTATAAAAATTCTTCTATGACCCAACTCGGGTTTTCCTTCCTAACTGCATTCCTCACCACCCTCACACGCAGCCTGTGTTCCAACTGCCCCAGACTTCTCAGCAGTTCCCCCCTGTGCACCTTCATGCCTGTAGCAAAAGTGTAGCCTCTAAATTTCCCGTCCTGGAGGTACAGTGAATTGCTTACTCTGTGCTTCCCCAGTACTTGACCAATAGTTGGTTTTTCTTTCTGAGTCATATCACATTGTCTTATAATTATTGGCTTGCATATGGTATGTACTCTCCAACTAGACTACAAGCCCTTTGCATGCAGGATTCAAATCTTGTCGTTCTTTGCATGCTTAGCACCTGGCGTATTAGGCATTTAGATATACGAAATGTTTGTTGTGTGAATAAATAAATGAATGCGGGAATTCAGTGGACAGAGAATTATAGGACCCTTTTACTAGCCTACTTTTCTGCCACCATATACTAGGGTACTTCTGAGATCTTCCATTGCCTTTTGCTCATTGTGATAGATGTGAGTCAAATTAGTCATCATGGTCACCATCACTAACATTTATTGATCACTTACTATGTACCAGGCACTTTTCTAAGCACTTTACATGTATTAATTTATTCCTCATAACATTCAGATGAAGAAACTGAGGCACAGAAAAGTTGAGTTACGTACGCAAGATCACATATCTAGTAAATGGAGGAGCTAGAATACAGTCACTGGCATTGAACTATTAAAGCTGTTTATTAGGACCCACATCAATTTTCTGCTAATTAAACCCCCTTAGGTACTTCTCAGATCTAGGCCTGTTTTCTGTGATTTCCTTTTCTTTATTTCTTTAATTCCAACATGCACCATTCCTTTATGTTCTTTTCCTACCACATCTTTCTTCCTCCCTTCTACCAAATGGCTCACTGAGTTAGAGAATAGTCTTTCCTACTGACTCCAAAGATAGACACATTATGGGCCCTTTTAGGTTAGTTTCTTTTGTTTGTGTGTTTTTTTTAAATGGTTTTACTCTAGGAAGATGGAAAATTAACAAACATGAAAAAGTTCTCTACTATGAGACCTCTCACTAAGTTATCCCCTCAGGTCCTGACTAATCCTGGATTCCTTGATAAATGGTAACTAAAACGTATGGAAGCCTCTGCTCTCATCTTTACCTGTAAAGGTAGCCCTCAGCAGACCACCCTATTTCCACTGACCCAGGTCTTGTAGGTTAGAATGGCCCCTCCTCACAGTTGCCTCATCTTGGTTTCTACGTATGAAAATGAGATCAGTGCAGGACAGAAGGAATGAAGAATGTCTAGTCTAGGACCTACTTTGTCTACTCAGACCTTCATTAATAACATGCATTTTAGTAGGCCTGGGCCTCCTGACTTCAGAATGTCTTCTCCCACCAGTTAAGGTTCCTAACTAATAATTAGTCACCTATGTGATTTCCTTAGGTGTTACATAATAACATTGAATCATATTTTATGTCTTTTAGGCTTTAGAAAATTTGCGTGTATACCTATGTGAAAAAATCATAGCTGAGAGACATTTTGATCATCTACGTGCAAAAAAAATACTCAGTAGAGAAGACACTGAAGAAATTTCTTGCCGAACATCAAGTAGAAAAAGGGCTGGAAAATTGTTAGACTACTTACAAGAAAACCCCAAAGGACTAGATACCCTGGTTGAATCAATTCGGCGAGAAAAAACACAGAACTTCCTCATACAGAAGATTACGGATGAAGTGCTGAAACTTCGAAATATAAAACTAGAACACCTGAAAGGTAAATAGCTTATGTGTCCAAGAATTTGTTTAAATGTAACAGTGCTTTTAAAAGTAAAATGCAGGGCTGGCCGAGTGGCTCAGTTGGTTAAGAGCGCAAGCTCTAAGTAACAGCGTCACCAGTTTGAGTCCCACATGGCCCAGTGAGCTGCCCCTGAGCTGAGCTGCCAACAGGTGGCAGGATGGCTCAGCTGGTGAGAGCGCATGCTCCTAACAACAAGGTTGCCGGTTCAATTCCCGCATGGGATAGTGGGCTACACCCACCCCCAACTAAGATTGAATACGGCTCCTTGAGCTGAGCAGCTGCGAGCTGCCCACAGGCAGCCGGATGGTGACTGGACTTGGAGCTGAGCTAGCTGCGCCCTTCACAACTAAGATTGAAGGACAGCAGCTTGGCTGTTAACATTTCCCCAATTCCCCAATAAAAATCTTTAAAAAAAGACAGACATTGTTGATCACAGTATAACACACTTTATTCCACTGTGATTGATATACTTGTGGGCACCTCTCTGTTCTTGCAGTACCCTTTGTATACATTTCACTTTTCCATAAACCAGGACTCCACTTTTAATCTCCCAATTCATTCCCAGACATTTTTGTTCTGTCTCACTACTCATCTCAAAGTCACCAATGACCTCTTTAATGCCAAACCTTATATGATGTCAATATATTGGAAAAATGGAATATCACTCAATGTTTTGTATTTAAATTCATTAACAATACCATTTTTAGAAAACTTAACTATAATAAAATCCCAGTATGCACAGGAGTTTGTTTCCAGAGTCATCCAAATATAAGATTAATCTATGCAAAAGTACCCCCTGAAAATGCACATCACACATAAAGAATAGTATATAGGCGAAATTTTTTTTTTTAAGAATTTATTTATTTTTTTTTATTGGGGAATTGGGGAAGGGGAACAGACAAGTTGCTGTCGTTTTGTTCTTCAGTCTAGTTGTGGAGGACGTTGCTTCACTGGCCCAAGT